TATATATATATATATATATATATATAACGTTGCGTTACCGCACATATCGATCTCGACGAACCGCGACATATACTTTTGCGATTATATTTATAGTTCAAAATAAGGAAGAAGGCATGTCTTGAATACTTTTCAGTACAATTCTTTTCTACGAAGCGTTATAAGTGGTATATCTCTAGGAGATAAATCTCATGGATATGAAATGCGGTAAACACATAAAAAGAAACTCAATTGTGGCAAGTATTTATTTGAGTTCTCCCACAATTGTGTGTGTGTGTGTGTACATTGTACCTTATTTTCTACGATGCTCTTACGCCGTGTTTGTTTGTACAACTACTTTCTGTGTATTTTTGGATAATACATATCTTATTTAGACTTCATCGCTTAATATTGCGCAAGAGAAATCAGAAAGATACATAGAAGATCTCACCGATTTATTGTGTAAAAGATCGATATAGTGTTCGAAAGTTTTTCAATTTGTACTGAATTATATCGGTTGAATAGTATAATTTGTGTTAATCGCATGATTTCAGATCATTTTTATTGTAATGCCGTGATTAAATGAAATGCAGTTTCCTTTATTAAGTAACGATACGATCACTTAAGACTCTAGTTTCCTCGCTGCGGTCATAATTATTAAGCATCCTAATACCGACGGTTCCGGCAACTATAACCAAACTACAGTGTCTGCATCTGAACTGACCCAGATACCGTTCGCGGCGAAGATTAACGATGTCAGAAGAGAAGAAATATGTGCTCGAAGTAAAATTCGTTAAGAAATTTAATAGGGAATGCAAAATCGATAATGTGACAAAGTCAGTGATGAAAGAGTAAACCACACTAACGTTGCGTTAATTTTACAGCTATTTATCAATTGTTAGGACAAAGGGAGGACTTTTGGAATATTTTACAAATTTACTACCGATCAATTGATCGTGAATATCGCGGGGGATATATCTTTTTATCTCATATATACCGATACACCTTGCAGAAATTTTGGCAATTTTTTCACTTCCGATGTTATCGATCAAAGTGACCGCGGCAAGAGATCGGGAGTCGTAATTTCATAAAAACCGCACTTAGTAATATCAGGTAAACTTCCAATCGATGTTAGCATTTATGCATTAAGCAAAAAGAAATGGACAGACATATACATTTCGTAACAATATACATATTAATTTAATGTATCCAGCACATCTTTTTTTGCTCCTACCCGAATAATATTTTCACGGATAACAATGTTCCGACACTGTGTCTGTTATCAGATCATTCTTTTTGTATATGGCTAACCGGTGACGGAACGAATGCACTTTCAGATTCCATTTTGAGATAGATAACGTGTAAATACGCTGAGTATTTAGAGCATTCTCGCTTTTCACTGAGAGAAGAAGAAGAATCACAGAGAAGAATATTTGCCGTTTTATAATTTTAAAATCGATTGTTAGTTTATTTTTGAGTAAAAAAAAAAACATACCAACAATAGCTGTTATTGATTGAAGCAATTAATAGAAGGAAATTGGATAAATCGTGCGAATTGCCAAAGACGGAAGTACACTTTGATTTTTGTGCTTTTTTTATGGTTACTACACGTTGAGTGTCGCCGCTGAATTCAAATCCGAGTTTCGTCAGACTTTTCTGCCTGCCGTGCCTGAACCGTGTACAGAGTCAGGATTTACTTAACACGTTGCCAAATGTACGAGAGTTAAGCTGAGCCTACAATGCGGTCGCAGTCGTTCGAGCCGGTTCACTTCCAATTCGAACGAGTACAACAACCAATCCAGTCGTTGGAATTGGAAGCGAACCGGCCTGAGCGATTGTGATTTTACGACTTTGCGACTGCCAACGACCGCGTCGTAGACCCAGTTCTACATTCGGATCGTAGATATTACTTAACAAATAATGAAAATGGCAAAATCATTATTAGTCGTGTAAGTAAAATACATTCATCTACAAGTAAAGTTTGTAGTTTCTGCGGATTCACGCGTCACTTAAATACGGGTTACGTGTCACTCAACGTGTTAGAACGCAAAATTCTCTCACAGCCCCTGATACTAGCAATTAAAATAAAATATGATAAATCACTGCTTAGCTGTAAATAATTAATATCGAAACGAATGAGTTGTTCAAAAGATGCATTGTATCATATTATTTCTGTGATTACGAAGAGTTAATAATTAATATAAATATCACTTTGTGTGTGTTGATGGTATCTGCAAAAGACTAGATCTCTTGGAATCTTCTTGTACGAAATACAGATTGGTCAATGTTCGCGAGTTGCGATCAAAATTGCTCGATATACATATATTCGATAAAGAAAGTGACGAAAAAGTGTCATATTCCCATTATTATTACGACCATGTTCCGTTATCATGTTCGACTATTTTGTGCGTATGTATAGGAGAGACCGGATCTGAAAGTCACACGGGTCGGAAGTCACGAAACTTTTATATATATATATATATATATNATAATGTAGCTTGCTTCTTTTACGTTAGTCGAATGAACGACTTATAGGCAAAATATCGCACATATGGTATTTTTTTTTAAATTAGGTGCGTGAGAAATTTTTTTTCTCGCCTATTATTAATGTTCTGTTCGATTTTAGGATTATTAGTCTCAATTTCTCTTTATTTTGCAAGAAATACAATAATTTTTACTCATTTTTTTTCTTTCGTCATTTAATTCATTGTTACTGCAACATTATTTATAAGTATAATTTTTTTTTTTAATTACAATTAAACGTTTGGGGTGAATTGATTTTAATCCGGTAAGACTGGTCGTCACGTTGTGACATTCCTTACACATGCGCGTGGAAACACATACTGATCGCCGAATGTTGTTAATAAATAAATCCGATTAGTTTAATAATAACGTTTTAAGTTTCTATAGAAGAAATGATTTGTTTTCTTATCAATGATATAATATATAAATATATGTAATGTTTTTAAGTCAGCTTTATATATTACATTGTAGTATGTCGCTAATTTTAAAATATATTAAAAGGTCACCATTTAAACAAACTATTTGTCTTGTTTTCTCTATATAAAAGACATGTGACAATGAAGGATATGGAATGAGATATCATATTCGCGCGACTTTGTTTACAATTAAATAACTTCATTGCGCATAAATATACTTTTTTTTTCTGTTGTCTAAAGAATATGGCTACATTATAATGTACACAGTATTGTGAGATATTCCAAAAATTTTTTTTTATCGATACGTAAAAAGTGTGACAATCAGACCCGGCCTTTCCTATTATTTGACTAAAAATTGCTAGAAAATCTGACAAAAATAAACTATCCAAACAATATAACATAGTATACAAAAGGAAGTATCAAATACGAATAATTATGACACACAATTATCTTTCAGTCACAAGCTGAACAAAGGCATTCGATTAACAAACTTAAAATTACAAGACAACAAATGTTAATTCAACATTTCAAACTTAACAGACAGATATGGTAGTGGGAATGTATTTCCTTCAGCTAATGTCTCCGATATATCGTCGGTACCGTTCTTTAACTTTTGATATTCACTTTGAGAGATTGTCAACTTATATTAATTTATTGTAATAATATACGCTAAACGTATTATAAACGAAATATATATGTTATAATGATATNATACAATAACAAGATTATTTCTCATCTTTGTTTATAACCCGCATCGAGAGTAAATGTATATATAAAAAAAATATTATACACGGATTGTAAGTAAAGATGAAAATATATAAAAAGATCTGTGTGCTAATATTTTTCTGGCGTAACATTCCGCACGCACAGAAAATATATAATTAAATATATATATATATATATATATATATATTATATAATACCTACTTTTTATATTTTAACTAAAAATATGGACGCTAAAAGAGATTGTTCTCATATAATTTGTAGAAATATCTCTTGTTACAGTAGATAATGTATTTTATAAAACGCGAGCTTCGAAAATATTCGACTTCTGAAATAGAAGAATAGATCGGTTTCAAGTTTAAATAGAAAGTTCAAAATTTCCTATAAGATATCAATCGTCTCCTAAACACGTATATATCGCGAGGTTATGGTTTCGGTTAACCATTCTTAACTACAAGAGTGAGCGCACATTTAAAATTTTCACGAACCGCCTTAAAATCCGGGCTCCATTCTAACCGACCAGACATTGCTCAGCATACCACGAATCTCCGCCACTTCTCTCCTGTTCCTCGCCAACATGTTTTCCAATTTCTTATTTTCCTGCATTATCTTCCTCATCTTTTTCAAATACCTCCTTCTGTCGACGTAGCAGCAACGATCCGAGCAGTTCCTGCCGTGCTTGCAATTCTTACACACCTTACCTTTGTAGCAACAGACCTGAGAATCGGCCGTACAAGAATGCTCGCTCGATTCCGAGTCTTCTCCCGCGGTTTCGAGGCGTTTTATCTGATCGACGGATTCACCTTCGCTCTTCCATGGCGAAGACGCGTAACCGGGGTTATTGAGACAAGGTCCCGCGTCGGTTTTCGTATCGCCTCTGCTCTCGGCCAGCTGGAACGACTTTGGTGCATTTAATTGGTGTATACTAATATCTGTGACGTCACTTAGCGATACTTCCTCCTCGTGGTCTACGTTAGATTCGAGTATTGCATCCGCTACGCTAGACTTAATAGGACTTAGACCGCGATACTGCGTCGTGTCGCACACCCTAGACTGCCTCTTGAGGCTCTTTCTCTTCTGCAGCAACGAGCTGCGCTGGCTGATGTGAACCGCGCCGTCGCTGAATCTACGCCCCTCGTCGAACATTCTGTCTTCCAAGGACTTCGTGTCGCACGAACCCTCGCTGGCCCTTCGAGTATCAGGACAATGTCGCGGAAATTCACATCTCCCATACGTTGTCTCCATCGTGTTGCACTCCCGCTCGTTATTATTATTATTCACTCCCGCGCCTATTTGAGCAATATCTGAACTACCACTCGACGAAGACGACGCCTGATGACCGTTTCTCGACTGATCGGATTCAGGAAATTCGGCGATATCGTCGAACGGCAATCGCTTCGCTAAATTCTCGTCGTTATCCGAGAGACACGAGTCCTCGAACGTTATCCTTTCTTCCGATTGCTTCGATTCCACGGACTCATCGGCGTCCAACGAAACGTTGTAATTATCCACCGTGTCGGCAGACGCAAGTTTTGCCGTGTCACCGGGGGATATTTCGATCAAGTTGCCGTCGCATCCGAAGGCGAATGACTTTTGGCCTGCAAGAGGAAATACGTGTTTTTGTGATTCGTCTTCTGTGTGTGTGTAAATTGAATGTTACTAAAGTAAATTTCAAACGATTGTTTCTCTCTCTCTCTCTCGTTTTCTCCTTTACCTATAATCATACGTTTGTTACGCATGTCGGGACTTTTAGAACGCGGCTGTTCCAGGAACTGCCTGTTATCGGGAGACAGAACGGATAATCTGCCATTCTGATGCGACGGGCTGTATTGCTCGCAGTAATAGTACGAATTCGTATCCACTTCGTGAAAGTCGTGCTCCCGCAAACGTTCCATGATCTTCTGCACAATTTCCGACGGGGCTACATACGGCGATCCTTTCGGAAACGTGAAAAAAAAAAAGGGAAAAAATATATTTCACACATACGTTAGTAAACAATAACCGCCACGGTACAAAATGTAACACGTTCATCGAACGTACATACCATAAACACAAGGAAAATAAATAACTGAGAAATACACACAGTCTGAGAATGATACAAGAAACATAAACGTGATATGATATTTGCGTATTATTATTTCGCGGCTGAATATTTTTCAACATATATTACTGCACAGCACTGAAGAGAAAATGAGAGAAGGAAATGATGACATTATAAAACGTGAAATCTGTTGCTGGTTGTGCTGCTCACAGCTCGCGTTTTAAATCCGTGCTTCTGCTATGCACATTAGTATATGCATTACTGTGTTACCTTACCTTCGCATCTATATCTATATACTATTACGCATGCAAATGTACTGCGCATTATGTAATCTCGGTAAAGCCTGCTTTCTATGCGTACACGATTATTACCGGATGTTTTCGGAATTCTAAAAGCATAATGTCACTGCACACACACACACACACACACACACAGACAAAACGAGTTCGAGATGGCTCTACATAAAAACAGCAAAATATTGCATCTCAACTGACTCTACGCATAAATCCCAAAGCAACGTGAGCAAAACCAAATGGACTATAAAATGCTTATTAGCAAGGAAAAAAAGAATCATAACGAAAATGAAGAAGAGTAACTATGTGTTTCTTTAATTTCAGCTAGGCGTGAACAATAAGGCGAGAGAAGTATCTAGTGAATTCAACTAAGGAGCTCTTAAAGATTTAAAGATTATACATCAAATCAAATCTCGTCTACAGATTCTCGCGCGTGACTTACAAAATTACTCGGTCCGGAGTTTCGGCGTTGTCGGACACGCTTAGGCACGCTTAACGCGCTATTGCTTCCTACAAAATTATCATTTGCGTAATGCCACATATAGTATAATGCATCTACGAATTTACTTTGTACCCGGAAATATTTAGCCACGATTTGATCATTTTATAATACAATTTATTACCGATTAATAATATTACGCCCCTATATATAGTTATAATAAAAATTTTTATTAATACTGCAAAAATGTGGCACTGAGAGTTAACAGATGATTTACTTAACAGTTAAATTGACCCCGTAAAATTGTTACTAATTCAGCGTGACGAACGTTATAATCAGTAATGTAACATTATAACGTTCAACATTGTAACATTATAATCCAAAGTGCATTTGGAATTGTAGAATTTGTAACCATGAAAAATTCTTATCGTCTGTGGTCCCTCACGCGTAAATATCGAGAGCAAATAGTTAGCTCAATCTTACCGGTTAGGCCTCTATATCCTAAGGACACCGAGTCGAAGGACTCGCTGGTCTCTTGTTGCTGCTTAACGAAATCGTCGATGGCGATGCCTCTCAGCGTCGACGGCTGTAGGAACCTCTTGGGAATGCGGGAAAGCGGGCCATTTTCCTGCGAACTGGCGGAGCAACCGCCGAAGCCGAGATCGAGCAGAATAGCTGTAGGATCCGCTTTTCGTAATTCTAACAGGCTCTCAACGCTGCTGCAGTGACTGCTATCCGATTGAAAACTCGCGTCCCGAGCCAGTCTATGCGGCAGCGAACTGCAATTGATACGAAATCAACACGTTTGATTTAACTGTAGATGTGAAGAGAACGATTCGTGCGAGCGTGTGTGTATTCTTGCATACCTCGGTAGTACACTCATCGCTGGCGAATTAGGAACGGTGATTGGTGCCGATACAGTCATATTCGGTGGCTTCGATCGCTTTGTAAACGGAATGTCCTTAGGCTCTGTTGGTGTTAACGGATCACTCGGTGTATGACACTCGCTCGCAACTGCAACATCTGACTTAGTAGGCAATGGTATCGAGTCAATCCATTGTTGAACCGGCCCAGGACGTCGTCTCATCTCCCAGATTCCACGCAACCAGTCTGTCACTTTCAGAATAGTCTCCTTGCCCACATTTTCTGATAGATCATACATAATACATGTGCATATGTAAAACGTTCAGTCGGTCAAGATTGTATTAAGCAATAATAATAATGTCGCACGCGATAATGAAACACCGTGACTCTTCAACTGATTTTATAAATAAACATAATAGAGAAGCAGGAGTTTGCAGTTATTACGATTGGGTGTCGCATCATGGTTGCAACAAAGCTTCTAACGCAACAATGATAATAGCAACGTAAAGTTTGTATGTTTTTAATTGTTGGTTAATTTTTCTCAATACCTATCTCTGTACAAAAGTGACATACATGCACATTTAAAAGCAGCAAGGTATTGAAAATAGATCGCTTGTGACAATTTCAGCGCCGTGTCAGGACGTCAAAGAAAACGTTGATAAGAATGTTTCCGCGTATGTACACAGTTTGTCATGCTTCACCTCAGACAAAGTGATCAATTAAACGCAACACTTGAAACGTAAGGAAAAAAGCGAAACACAGCTAAATACCTGGGTCCATATCTTTGCGTGCCAGCATGAGGACAGAATACCGTAAAAAGAGAGCTGCCGCATACAGGTTGTCGTATCACGGACGATACGTGTGGTGGTCGGTCGAGTTTACGCACGAATGGAAAATCAATCGCGACGAGAGCGGAATAGGATGAGACGCGGAGCACGAAGGAGCGAGCGTGATGCAACCGTGAATGCGACGCTGTGTGCTTACCTTCAATTGCGGACGGACCGTCGATACGAGTTGCGCGTTGCTTTCAGCAATCAAAGCGACACGAAACGCATGTTTGCGCGACTGCTGTCGCCGTACGCCGATAAGTGACTTGCGCTCGCGGAGTGATTGAAACTACTGAGCCAGATGCGCGCGCGACCACTTATCGGTGGCCCTGACAGCCGCCCGCCACGTCATGTGCTACCAGGGCCGTGGCAATTCCTCAAGGCCTCTGTACCCTATAAGCGCGTAATATTATTTAATATTAAGTAATATTTCTGGAATATTAATAGATCGTTGTGGCCACTCGGAAATTATTCAGTTTAGATACGCCAGCACAAATATGGATTAAATTGCACTTATTCCACGTGTTTATGCAGGAAACGAAAGATTCTGGCAGAAAAAGTGTGTGAGTTGACAACGTGAAGCGAGTTATTAATCGTCCGAGTTGACGACTTGAGAGGTTAGGAAACCTGTCATACCGATGAAATGTTGCGATATAAGCATGCTTTGTGGTATTAAATAAAGACGAGTAAATAATTACCGTTTACAGGTTTTATACACAGAACTTTGTTGGTTATTGCATCTGTCGATATAATTCTCATAGCTGTATACAAAAGATGTTTAAGCACTCGGCCAATGTTTTCTATTAGAAACTTGTTGCACATAAATTTTACCACATCATAAGACAAAAGAAATACGTTGATTGTTAATATACTGATGTATTACTCGTGTCTAGTTTGTAGACAGATTTGTATTTTTTACGATTTTCGCGAGACAGTTTCAATTTCAGAAATAGCGTACATAACAAATCAGGAAGCTCCAGAATTGTCAATATGAGAGAGCGACACTGCCGTTCAATATTAGAACTTCTAAGTGTCAGTCTTTGTCGGTAAGAATGGATAACACAATGACAACTGATCAATAGTGGGTAAGTTAAATTTCTTGAGGTCGATAAGTTTTCGAGAATCGATAAGTTACCAAGCTCGATAAGTTTCCGGAGAGCGGTAAGTTACCAGAATCGATAAGTTTCCGGAGAGCGGTAAGTTACCAGAGACGATATGCTTCCTGGGATCGGTATGTTTCCCGGGGCCGGTATGTAACTTTCTTGCACATCGCAGAAGCAAAGTGAGGTTCAAAGATTCCAATTTTTGAATAGATTTAAATAAGGATGGTACTTCCCACTTACCCAATGCAAATAATTCATACTATATTCTGCAGGCAATCGATGTCATCGATGTGCATTACGAAGGTCTGAGTAATCTGTATAATCTCATAAATTTCAAGTGGCTTAGCATTAAGTATGTCAAAAATATCTATGACTAGAACTTTGAAAAAATATCAACAGGGCTTCCGGAATAATTTGGCATCTCAGACTGTTAAAAAATTACTGAGAGAGGATTGGAGAGGCACTGTATAGAATGTTCAA